AGAGCGGTCGCGCTGGGAAGTTGAGCTGGAGTGCAGCTAGAATGACACAGTCGATGCGTAGGCTGTCGTAGAACTTCTCGATGTCTGCCAGTAGCACTGATCCCCATAGGCCTAGTGCGTCTGCGCATTCGTCGGTGATGAGGCGCCTTAGTGTTTCTCGTAAGCAGCTGTTGCCTTCTATCGCTGCGTCCCACTCTCGCTCGGGTGGCGCACGCATCTCCGAATGCGCTGACGGAGCAGGAGCTCCCAGCAGCATGCACGTTGCGGAAGTAGTGCTAGGGCTCGGTCTCCTTTGGCGGGCCCGGGGGTGATCATGGCGATGGGCGTGAGCAGCTGCCACGGCCAGGCGAGGCGGCGTTCGCGCTCGTTGAAGGTCGACCAGTGCCTGGCGCCCAGATACAGGGAGGCGTCTGGTGTCGCCGATGATCATCCTCTCCACGCCCTTGCCATTGCCGGCTTCGCCCGTCGCGCGCCTCTCGAGGCCGTCGGGCGCCCATGGGTCGTGCTCGTCCTCCTCGGCGGCCTTGGCGCGGAGGGCGGTGGGGCACCCCTTGTGCTCGTTATGTGGCGTCGCGTCGCATGCCCAAATCTGCGTGAGTGCAGTGGTCTGGTAGACCATCTCCTTCGGGCCGTGCAAAATCGTGGAGCCAGTATGTATCTCCGTTTCGCGTCGGGGTGGTGGCATGGTGATCTTGTGGAGCGTGTCGCTGTGCTTGTCAGCTTGCATGAGCCACGTTCCATACTGCTTCCTGCTGTCTCATGTCGATCCGCAGTGCGTGTCCAACTTCCCGTTCTACCTGTTCCGCCATGCCCTTCAGTGTCTCTCGTGGGATATACTCCAGCGGCTCCATGCGGTCCTTCCACGTGTCTCTGCGGGGCCGTGCCGTCTCAGTAGGCGTCGGACCTGTAGGGGGTAGCCCTCCCCGCCAAAGTCGCTGGCCCGCGTTGGCGAGTTCCCTTTGCTGTTGGGGTCCGTGTTGTCGCTCGCGCAGCTTGACTAGTGCTCGCAGCATCGTCTCGGCGCGTTTCCACCGGTCCGTTGTGCTCGATGCGAATGTGTGTCGTCGGCACCATTTTTCCTTGAGCGTGTAGAAGGATGCAGCGGAACTTCCCCATGGTACCAATGATGCGCTGGCAGCTCCGTCAGAGACGCTCTGCGCCCCTTGGGTCCGCGCGGTAGGCGGCGTTCTTCTTGATGTAGTCAGGGGCGTTGTGATTGTCTTCCTTGTGCTGGAATATGCCAGCAACCACCCAGGTGTTGTCCATTACGTTAGCGTTGACCCCGGCAGCGCTGGCCAGGACCTTCTCCATCGTCGATTGCGTCGTCGCACACTGTGCTCCGTCCTGGGCGCCAGCGGCGCCCTTGCCAGCGCAGATGCGTTGGCCCATTATGGTCGCAGCGTTCTCGACGTTCAGCTCGATCTCGTCCTCTGTCTGTTGGGCGAAGAAGGCGTCGTATTCCTGCTGGAAGATGAGGTCATTCTCGTCGTTCTGCCTCGTCTCTATCTCAGCGTGGCTGCTTCCGCCTGTGCGGTACTGGTCGAGGATGTCGTCGAAGGGGTCGATGTCCGTCTGGTCCGCGGTGGTGGCCTGCTGAATGTTGGGTGTGTTGCGTGGGTGAGTCGTCCACCCCATCGGTGCCGGTGCTTCCCATCGCTGGTCGTCCGTGCCGTTGCTTGTTGATGTATGCGAGAACTCAGGTGGCGCTGTGGTTGAGGCGCCGGGTTGTCTTGTGCGCGTAGCTGACGTGGTGCTCTCTTCTTGTCGCGCTGGTTTAGGTCGAAGCACGTAAGTTGAGGACCAGTGCTGCATGTGGCTCTCATGGCGTGTCTTAGATCGGCCCCTTTCCTCGCACTAGCCGTTGGCCTCCTTCGTTGGCCAGCGCGTAGTCTACGTTGGAGGAAGCGTCGCCGACGTTGCAGGCGCGCTGTCGGCCAGACCGTCTCAGCGAATTCTTGGCGGCTTATGTTGAGGTCGCCGCACAGGGGCCACGGCGTTGAGAGGGGGTCCAGGAAGGTGGCCAGCGACGTCAGCACGCGCGCGTTCGCGCCGCGCCGCGCACTTCTCTTCGGGTCGAGGTAGAGGGGCACGATGACCATCGACGTCCTATCCAGGGGCAGCGCGACCGGAACACAGTCGCACATGTCCAGGTCACCTGCCTCATTGTGGCTACGCGCGTTGGAGGCGGTCCCTTGCTTCGCGCGGTGCCTGAACGAAGTTACCTTCAGGTGCCCCTTCTCGATTGCAGCTGCGCCTCCTCCAGTGTCCGTCGGGCCCTTCTCGCTCCGCCGCGCCGCGGTGAAGGTGCCTGCGAAGCCCGCCTTCTGCAGGTCACGCCCCGCGGTGTCGATCCGTGCCCGAGGTGCGCGCGTCTCCTGTAGCGCGTAGACGTCGCGCCCTTCACGAAGCCCGCCGCGACGCATCCAGCTCATGACCTTCGGCCCCCCCCGTGGTGATGTTGGCGAAGAAGATGGCGCGGTCCAGGGGCTCGGCGTCGCCGACAGGTTGCCTGCCCCTCCGCCGTGCATCCTTGTGGTCGTCGGGATTGGTACCTTCGCCCTTCCCGACAGCCGCTGACCTGCGACGCTCAAGGAACTCCTCGGCCTCGCTCACGTCGGTGTCTTGGCCTCCTGCGCGCCGTCGCTTGCCCTGGCCGTAGACTTTGGCGGTTGTGCCGCTGATGCTGCTGCTTGGCCCTCCGTCTTCTCCTCCGGGATCTTCTCCGCTCGGTCCGCTTTCCGCTTCTTGAGCGCCTGCGTGATGATGGCGCTGTTATCCCATGCCTGTGTCTTCGCCTTCTGCAAGTGCTCTGTGAGTTGCCCTTTGAATGTGAGCGCCGTCCTCTTGAGCTCCTCCAAGACTTGCTCCTTGGCGTTGTCGACCGCTGCTCTCCCCTTTGCGCCCACGTCCTCGTCGCGCTTGAAGTGCCCCCCGAACGCGGAGAACTCGATCTCGGACGGGTGCGCGACGTCCGTGTCCGCCTCCAGGATCGCGTCGAAGATGCTCTTGTTCGTCTCCTTGCCCTCAGCCTGGATGGTCTCGATAAGCTGCTCCACCTGCAACACCTCGTCGGCCCTCAGGTTGAGCGCTTCGTTGGCTTTTGCCGACTTGGCGTCTGCCTGCTGATTTGCCTCGAATGCCCACTTGTACCTCTTGTTGGCCTCCTCCAGCGACTTCGCCGCCTCCGCCAATCGTAATGTTGTTGGCTTCGTTTGCGCTGGCGATGCCGACGAACTCGCTGCCTGTTCTAATTCTGAGGCCGCTCCTTCCAGCTGCTTGACGACCCGGACCTTGTCCGAAGTCGCCAGCTGCTTGGTGCCGAGCGCGGGGGTGGCCGTCTTGAGGGCCGCCGCGGGCTGCTCCACGTCGTGCTTCTGCTGGCCGACGGCGTTCTTGCCGCCCTGGGCCCTCGGATCGTCGCTTATGTTGTGGTAGCTCGCGTACTGACCCTTGCTGTAGTTGTCGGCGTAGTCCGCTGCAGGCGTGTGCGTCCAGCTCTTTGGGTGGGCGATGCGGCATCCGCATTTACACCAGTAGCCATTATCGTACAGCTGCTTGTTCCGTTACCGCTGCTGGAAGCGCTTGCACCTGCTCCAGTCGTCCTGCTTCGGTGCCATGCTGCCGTGGTGGGAGTCGAGCAGCTGTCATCGCGGGCCTGGCGTCGCGCCCGTCTGGGGGGCCTGTGCACGGCGGGCGAGGGAGGCCTCTTCAGACCACGGCGGTCCTCCGTGGGCCTGAAAGCTCCCGATGGCGCGGGCCCCGCGGCGCCGCCCGCGGGCAAAATGGCTGCGCGGGGGCGGAGCGGGGCCAAGCTGGGGAGCCACCTGGGAGGAGGAGGAGGAGGAGGAGGAGGAGGAGGAGGAGGAGGAGGAAGGGAGGAGGAGGAGCAGGAGGAGGAGGAGGAGGAGGAGGAGGGGGAGGAGGAGGAGGAGGAGGAGGGGGAGGAGGAGGGAGGAGGAGGAGGAGGAGGAGGAGGAGGAGAGGAGGAGGAGGAGAGGAGGAGGAGGAGGAGGAGGAGGAGGAGGAGGAGGAGGAGGAGGAGGAGGAGGAGGAGGAGGAGGATTAGAACGAGGAGGAGGAGGAGGAGGAGGAGGAGGAGGAGGAGGAGGAGGAGGAGGAGGAGGAGGAGGAGGAGGAGGAGGAGGAGGAGGAGGAGGAGGAGGAGGAGGAGGAGGGGAGGAGGAGGAGGAAGGAGGAGGAGGAGGAGGAGGAGGAGGAGGAGGGAGGAGGAGGAGGGAGGAGGAGGAGGAGGAGGAGGAGGAGCAGGAAGGGAGGGGGAGCTCGAATTTTGGGTCACCGCTCTCGCCTTCCAGCCCCCGCAGTCGAGTTCCTTCACGCGCGCGGCGCTCCCCACCAACCCCCCCGGTGCAGGGCCACGTCCCCACGGAGCCACCCCGCGGATGTTTTGCGCGTCGGGGCCGGGGTTCCCACGACTTCGCGGCGCCACCGGGCGCCCCCTGGGCACAGCTCGCTCGATGGACGGACGGGGGGAACAACAGGGAGAGGGGAGATTGAAGGGGATGCGGGGAGGGAGGGAGGGGGAGGGAGGGGAGGGAGGGGAGGGGAGGAGGGAGGGGAGGAGGGAGGGAGGGAGAGAGGGAGGGAGGGAGGGGAGGGGAGGAGGGAGGGGAGGAGGGAGGGGAGGAGGGAGGGGAGGAGGATGGGCAGGGAGAGCAGGGTGGTACGAGGAGAGGATTGGGTGTGGAGCGATCTCGGGGGGCACGGGGAGATCCTCGTGGCCCCCCCCCCGCACACAAGCTGCGGGGGTGCGGCAAGCGAGGGGGGCCAAGACAACGCCCCTGTCTGCCCAAATAGAAAGGGGGGAAGGGAGTGATGAGTCGCTCGCTCGCTCGCTCGCTCCCCCCACTGGACGACTACACGCCAGGCCAATGGTCGCCCGATCAGTCCAGCAGCCGCAGTCATCGGCCACCGATGGCTGCTGCGCGACGACAGACGCCGATCAACGATCACCGATCCGGTGCGGACGTTAAGCCTGCCACTCCTCCAAGAGGCCTAGCCGGGTTGCCACGTCTGTCAGTTGCAAGCCGTCCCGTCGTCGCCCCTCCTCCAAGCCACCGAGCTGGATCCGCCGCCGTGACCGAGGCACGGAGCGGAGCGTCCTCGGGTCTCTGAGACTCTTCTGCACTGAACATTGTACACGATGCTTTCAGTAGGGCCCGCAGCCAGGATGTCCGGGCGCTCCCAGGGCTCCCCACGAGCCCCCCCTGCCCCTGCGTGACGTTCCCACGGGCAAGAGGGCCCCCAGACGTGCCCCGAACGCCCCAACAGGCCACCACAACCGTCCAAGAGGGCCCCGAAGCGCCCAAGGATCACGCAAAGACGCCCCATATGGCCTGAAGACAGCCCAAGAGGCCCCGAGAGGCCCCCAAGAGGCCAAACATCATTGTTCCCAGAAGTGTTTGTCAGGTTTATGCGGTCTGGCCATTTGGGGCTTCCGACGCTCCAGAAGGGCCTAGAGGTCTCCCAAACTCGCCTCAAGACGGCCCAAAAAATCCCCAAGAGAGTTGCAAGATGGCCCGAGTGGGCCTCAAGGAGGCCCAGGAAGCCCTTCAAGACCGCCCAAGACGGCCTCAAGAGGGACTCCAGAGGGGCAACTCCAACTGACATCTAGAGCCCCCGAGACTGCCACCAGGCCCCGAAGAGGTCCACAAGAAGCCCCAGGAGGCCCCCAAGAGGCCCCACGCAGCCTCCAAAAGGCTTCAGAGAGGCCCCCAACAAGCAGAGGCAAAGAATCCCCTGAAAAGCCCGAGCAGCCCTCCGTTTCCAAGAGGCTTCCGAGAAGCCCCCCAAGGGATCCCCTCAGGCAGCCAAGGGGCTTCTGACCTACAACCCATGGGCAATTGCGGGATGGGCCGAAGACCACCAGATCCGCTGCCCCCAGTGGGGTCTTGGCGCATTCATCCAACCACACAGAAAGCACCTGAAACACAGAAAAGTTCAGGCAACTCGCCTCCTAGATGGTTGAGATGGCCCCAAAGACGGTCCCAAGGCGTCGGAGATGGCCCCACGTGAGCCCAATATTACCCCAATATGCCCCCCAAACAAGGACCCAAGGCGGCCAAAGATGGCCTCAAGGCGGCCCGAGATGCCACTGAGAGGCTCCAAGTTGCTCCAAGAAGATATCCTGGAGGCCCTTAGGGGGCCAAACACACGTGATTAGGGTGTTGTTTGATCGACTGCCACGTTCTCGCAATTTCGGGCCCCAGGACGGCCCGCCGAGGTCCCCAAGGCGGCCTCCGAAGACCACGACGGCCTTGTAAGCCCGCAGATGCGCCCAGGAGACATCCAAGAGTCCTCAGGAGGCGCAAAGAGGCCCTCCAGGAAGCCCTCGAGAGGCCCCACGACGCCCTCAAGAGGCGTTGTCTTCCTCGTCCTCGTCCTCCTTCTCCCCAGCTCGCTGCTCCTCTCTTTCTCGTCACATGTCTCCCAACAGGTTTACACACTGGCTCGGGGATTACATTGTACATAGCCCACCAGCATGACGAGACTTCACCTCGGCTCAACGTTTGGTCGCGTAGACGTCGCCAACATGGCAGTGGGCGGCGGTGGTTCGCCGTAGGCGTCTTCGACAGTCAACTCGCTGAGCGACCCCTTGCCCCAGGCAGCGTCCAGAGCGCCGAGCCGGGTGGTCAGGTCGTTCATTGACTTCCTGCTGTGGGCGCTTTCTTGCTGTCGCCACTCCTCAAGAGCACCCAGCCGCGTACCAAGCTCGCTAATCAACTCCTCGTCTTGCGCACGCCCTTCACTGAGCTGGGTGGTCAGCTGACTCAGCGACCCCTTGCCCCAAGCGGCGTCCAGAGCGTCGAGACGGGTGGTCAGATCGTTCAACAGACCCGTGCTATGGGCGCTTTCTCGCTGTCGCCACTCCTCAAGAGCACCCAGGCGCGTGCAAAGCTCGCCAATCGACTCCTTGTCCAACGAGCGTCCTTGTTGCAACCACTCCTCCAGAACACCAAGCTGCGTGTTCATCTCTCTCAAAGATTCTCTGCAATCTGTGGCATCATGCTGTCGTCCTTTCTCCATGGCACCAAGCTGGGTGGTCAGCTCGCTCAGCGACCCCTTGCCCCAGGCAGCGTCCAGAGCGCCGAGCCGGGTGGTCAGGTCGTTAAGTGCATCCCTGCGCCCCCTGCTGCGGGCGATTTCTTGGTGTCGCCACTCCTCCAGGGCACCCAGCCGCGTGCCAAGCTCGCTACCAAACTCCTCGTCTTTAGCGTGCCCTTGCTGCCGCCATCTCTCCAGGACACCAAGCCGCGTGCTCAGCTCACTCAAGGACTCCCTGGACTCTGTGGCGTCCAGTCGTCGTCGCTCCTCCAAGCCACCAAGCTGGGTGGTCAGCTCGCTCAGCGACCCCTTGCCCCAGGCAGCGTCCAGGGCGCCGAGCCTGGTGGTCAGGTCGTTCAGTGACTTCCTGTTGTGGGCGCTCTCATGCTGTCGCCACTCCTCAAGAGCACCCAGCCGCGTACCAAGCTCGCTAATCAC